TCCCAGCATCTGGAATTCCAATGCGTACTGTCTGTCTGGAAGGAGACACCATGTGACAAAGAAAGATAGGGCTAATCAGCAGAATTAATAATACCTCATATCTAACAGGCAGTTCAGACCTTTCAAAGCACTTTCTCCATCTGTTACCCAATTTTATTCTTCGGAGCCATCCTGTAAGCTAAGTAGGGTATCTGTTATCGTCCTCCCTCACGGCTCCTCAAAGAACTTCGGGACAGAGAGAATGAAAGACCGGCCTGAGGTCACCCAGCTAATTAATAGCAGTACGACTAAATCCCAGGTGTCCTGCGTTGTAAAGCGGACCGTGAGAATAGAGGGTAGAAGGACAATTTTGCAGGAAACGTTTCTTAGTGGAGATGGGTGATTCTGTCTCGGGCATCCGTCTAGCACGGACCTGGCAGTCCGCCTGCCCACAGCACGGAATCGGCAGCCCAGTGGGGTCTTGCTCCCTCCTGCGAGGGGGGACAGAGCTCCCAGGGTCTTGTAAGAACACAGGTGTTAAGGGCATTGAGCCTCAGGGTACTGTTAGTATGATCCGACTCCCGCTGCTTCTATTCAACATCTGGTAATGAAACCAAGAAAGGAGGTAGGAAAGAAGATTCGAAAACCGGCTTCGGCTGGGATTTCTAGAGGAAATGCTTGTTTTCAGCTTTTCCTGCAACCTTTGCATCTCTGTCCTTCTCCAGTAGCTCCCGTTCAGCAAACCGGCAGCTCCAGGCAAGTGAAATGTGGTAAGGGGCATGGTGATGTGTGGTCTGCTTACAGCCCTGTACAAAAGCTGCAGAGGAAACAGAGTCTCCAGGGAGTCCCTGGGAGCAAGACCGCCATTGTCTGAGGGGGGGAGGGGTGGGAATTTTTTCTCCTCTTTCGTCTCCTATTTGAATTTTCTGCAAGAAGTTATATTTCTTATGTAATTTTTAATGGTATTTTTGTTAAACTGGAAGCAAAGGGTCATTCTGGCTGCAGAGCAGGGTGGTTGTTGGTAAGGAGAGAAGTGGAACAACGGATCTCTGTGGGGCGAGAGGAGGTGCTGGCTCCCCAGGCTCCCACAGCAACCCTGCCCAGGCCCTGGAGGAGTATTTCGATTTCACTTACCATCCAGATGTTACCACTTTCTCCCACCTTTTGCTGGCCCCTGGGGCCAGAGGTCCCTCAGCACCCTGCCGCAACCCCCCATTTCACCAGGTGCTCCTAAGCTGGAGCCCCCAGAAGGTCTTACCCCACTCTGGGCCCCATTTAGCAGTCTGGTCCTGGGACTGGGCAGGAAAGTCCTCTGTCCTGTTCTTCCAGTCCTGCTCCAGAGGGCCGAGGAGAGAGACTAGCAAATCAACAGTAGCCAACCATGCACAGGGCCCTGTTGGCGCCCTTGCCTTGCTGACTCAGTGGCTGTGCCTGACTTTCGGAGTCCCAGCTGAAAACCGAAGTGGGGGTAGGGGGCAGCACCCGTGAGAAATCAGTACCCTCAGCTGCACGGGCCCTTCCCCTGCTGTGCGGCGTGCTTAGCCTCAGATGCCTGATGGGCTGCGCTTGCTGTGGGTCTGGTAGCCGACAGCAGGTGCAGGCCAGCGTTCAGACAGGTGGTGGTGGGAGCCGGCAGGACGTTTCATCTTGTTAGGCTGAGTGTTTCGCACTGTTTCTGAGAGTCCAGTGAGTGACAATGAAACAACTGCTGAGAAGTAAAACCCAGGAAGAAGAAGTGCGTGGAGGGGCAGTAAATAAGATGGTAAGCCCTATAGGGCCTATTTGGGTTAGAAGAATTCTCCAGAAGAGCCTCCACCCTCTTGAAGTGTTTGAACCTTCGAAGGCTGAGGTGCATTCGCTGACTTTTGAGCCCCGTTTGGGGAGTCTTGGGGGCCTGCAAGTTTGAGAATGGACTATTCTCCCCGATCCATAAGGGGGTCTGTGGCTGCTCTTTATTTCCGGGGAAGATGTCCACTGGCTTGGAACTTACTACTCTGCAAATGAGAAAGAGCCATGGTCAAGTTCACCATTGTTCCATCCCAAGAACCCTTCTGGACTTCCTCTTGGTAGTCAGTGTAAGCTCTCCCTTGTGAATAGAGCCTATTAGAAAGAAAAAGAGTGGTCAGCCGTGCAGTTGCTTTCCCATGGAAGAAGATCTATAGCTGACTATTTTCTTTTCCTTTGACCTCTTTAAAAAGCAGCTGGAGTTGCAACAGCTCTACCAAAACTTTACACGGCCTTTGCTTCAAGGACTTTGAAACGAGCTTTGTTGACTTTTCCTTTTCCTGTCAACCTCTGTTCTGTTTCCCTGGTGTTTCATACTGTCTGGATGATTTTAAATACAGTAGCTCTCGGTCTAGAAGGCCTTTGGACTTTCCCTGTGGCCCGAACCGTAGGTACATATTCTTTGGGAAGAGAAGTAAACAGGATTTAGAGCAGAAGCAGCCTTGTTTTGTGGTCGGCGGAAGGAGAGCCTGCCCGAGGCCCCATGGTGCTGCAATCTCTGTGGGCAAAGAAGGCTTCTGCCTGGTGTGGAAACGTCCGTGTCCCAGCCAGGCTGATCTCCATGTGAGTCAGGCACTGTCCAGGATTGGAGTGTCTGTTTGTTATCCAAAGGGTAGAAAGGGAAATCAAACATTCTTCGGATCATTATAAGCCCTGTGCAAACACAGCCCATGGACAAAGCCTGCTGGCTTTCCCTGGCTGTCCGCCTTCAGCAGTGAGAGCAGGGCTGAGTGTGGAGGAATGTGTGCTGTGGCGAGTTTGCTTTCTTGGGCCAAAATTGTACAGGTGTCATGGGACACAATTCACGGGCGGAAGTTGAAAGTTGAATCAGAGCAGCCACTGGGAGCCCTCAGCAAATGTCATGTCCGGCAGGCTCAGAGCTATGAAGGAATCTGACAAAGCAATTGCATCCAGCCACAGAAAAGTCAAATGATCGTGCAGTGTGACTGCCTTTGTGCCTGGGGATTAACTAGTCATAAATGCTGGGATCTAGACCCAGCTTCCTGCATCTGATGCAATCAAAGCAAAAGCCTGAGCTCAGAATAGAGTATCTTCATCTGACTCCCTTGAGCAACGCAGACATAACACGGCAGCTGCTGAATATTAACGAGGGCTTGGTTTCTGCACCTGAAAATATTTTGACCAGTTAAACCCAGACCCTCCTGTTTTTCTGGTTTCCGGTTCACTGTGTCCCATTTGTTCTGTCTCCTAGAGCTGTGCTGTCCAGTGTAGCAGCCACATGTGGCTATCGAGCCCTAGAAATGTGCCTCGTTCTGAATTGTGCTAAGTGCAAAAACGCTTCCAGTTTTGCGAATGTAGTGCCAAAAAAGTAAACCATCCCAATAATGTTTATATTAATTACATGTTGAAATATTGTGGACCTATTGGACTCAACTAAATATACTATTAAAATGAATTTCAGTTGTTTCCTTTCACTCCCTTTAATGTGGCCGCTAGAAATGGGAAATCACAGCTCTTGTTTGCATTGGACAGCGCCCGGCGGGCACTCGAAGGAAGTGTAGGTTTATAGCGCCATCTGCTGGTCCGCCGAAAGCAGACGCTGATGTCAACAAGCGCTAAGTGAATGAGTCCCAGACATGGACACTTTGTTAGCCAAGCAACGCGCAAACTTCCTTTTCTGAAACAGGACCAGAACCGAACCCCGAAGTCCCTGCATCACCAACAAGAGTCTTGGAGAGGGCAGTGCTGAAGATCCAGGCCTGTGCACTTGACAGAATATAAGGAGGACACAGATCCATCCCTGCAGAGACGCATTTCCTCTCCTTGGATAATGCTTATTCGTCTTTGTCAAGAGTCTGGAAGTTGGAATCTTGCTGCTGACAGTATCTGCATCAGTTATCACTGCAGCGTAACAAATGACCCCCAGACTCCGTGGCTTAACTCGGTTAAGACCTTTCTGTGGGGCAGGAACTCAGGACTGGCCCATCTGAGCACAGCCGGCTTGGGATACCTCATGAGGCTGAAGTCAGGGGCTGGGCCTGCATCCATGGAGGTTTGACGGGGCCTGCAGAGTCCACGTCAGGGTGGTTTGAGCACTGACTGGCCAGCTAACGCTGGTTGTTGGCCTCAAGTCTCAGTTGTTCTCCACACGGGCCTGGGGCTGCTTGGGAGTCCTGTAGGCTGGCAGCTGCTTTCCTCCAGAGAGAGCAGCCTGAGAAGCCGAAGAGGAAGCTGCAGCCCCTTTTATGACCCAGCCTCAAGGCACATGCTGTGACTTCTACCGCATGGTGGTGATCCAGGGGCAGGAATGTGCATCCTGCCTCCGGAAAAGGAAATGTCAATATCACGTTGGAAAAGAAAATGTGAGATGGGATAGCCATTGTAGTTTTGGAAAACACAGTCTCCCCAAGTGTCCAATTTTGTATAGTCCTATGCAGTTCAGAAGCCTGCCCCATTCTGCAGATGAGGAGACTGAGGCCTGGAGAAGTAAGGTAACTAGCCTGAGGTCTGGTGGACGGACTAAAGCCCACATCCAACTCTTAGTCCACCCCGATGTAGACTTCCCGAGTTCTGCCACTGCATCTCGTTATGCCGTGTCACTGAAAATCACGCTGGTTTTTTCATCTTTCCAGCCTCTTCGAGGTGTGTTGTACTCTCCTCATTCAAGTGTTTCAGACAATTCCTTAGATGATGTCTGTCTGTAAATTGTTCTCTTGCTGAGTTGAGGATCTACAGGAGTGGGTTTCAACTAACTATATAGCCTTTCTTACAAAATTGTAACAGTGAAAAAGTCCACATTTTCCACTATCTCCCATGCTGTTTGCTCCAGAAATCCCAGGAGTGATAACCACATTATAATTTGTGTGTTCACATTCTGTTTGACTCTCTAAATATGACATCTGGTTTGTATCTAAGACAAGATTTAATCACCACTTGCTTTCAGTAGCTTCCATCCTACCTGGTCATCTTAAAAAGGAGGTTTTACTTTTTTTTTACACTGGAATTCAAACTAAAATCCAACCACCATAATCATATTCTGCTGTTCTTGGTTTCAGGTCAAACTTCCGTTTCCTGTAGATCAAATCACAGATCTTCCGAGGAACGATTTCCAGATGATGATTAAGATGCACAAGCTAACCTCAGAACAGTTAGAGTTCATTCACGACGTCCGGCGGCGCAGCAAGAACCGCATCGCAGCCCAGCGCTGCCGCAAGAGGAAACTGGACTGTATTCAGAATTTAGAATGTGAAATCCGCAAATTGGTGAGTTGACCTGAATGTTGCTGTCAGCAACCTGGAGGGAGCAGGACTTGTGCAAGGCTGCGGTGGTAAAGGCGAAAGACGTGCAGAGAAGGGTCACCATTCAGGGAGTTTTGAGTTTGAGACAAGTTTCTCCACAAAAGTAAGAGCCTTCTATCTGCAGTTACGCGTGCCAGCATTGTATACGTACCCTTCAGCCTCCCTGGGTACAGAGGGAGTTACTAGTAGCTAACATTTATTGCATACACGTGTGGACTGGGTGTTATTCTCAGATGTCTTTATAAATGATCGCCTTTAATCCCCACATCCACCCTGTGACTTAGGTTGTTTTCCCTCCATTTACAGAGGAGGAAGCGCGTGCAGAGAGATTTACCAGCTCCCCACTACATGGCAGAGCTTGAATGCAAACCCAGATCTTGTATGTTCACCACCGCTTTCTCCTGCCTCCCACAGGAGAACGTAGAATCCAGATAAGACACCTGAAGTCCCTCGCAGCCCCAGGGTCCTTGATTGCAATTCTGCCTCCAAGTGGCTCGCAACTCTTCCCTGGGCCTGAGAGTATTTTGTCTCAGGGAACAAGCCCCCATCTCCCAGTCTTCCCTCACTGGGACCTCAGTTCCCCCTTCCCCTTGGTGAGCAAGCTTAAGCTACAGGAAGTAAATCCAGGGCCCCTCGGGCTCCTGACTTAGCTTTGAAGGCAACCAGTGCAGTCTCATGCAGCTCGACCTTTCTGCTAGCCAAATACTGGAAACATCTTAGATGCTGGGTCCATTGTCAGGCTGAAGAAGAGAGAGGCCAGTGATGTGCTTATGATCTAAGCTCAGGTCCTCGGTCTATACATGGTGATGCTTTGCGTCATGGTAGGCCACCATCCTGATGAGACCCTAAGAGCAAGATAAAACATTTGAAAAATATGAGTAGGGGCACCTGGGTGGCTCGGTGGTTTAAGCCTGTCTTCGGCTCAGGTCATGATCTCAGGGTCCTCGGATCAGGCCCTGCATTGCATCAGCCTCTCTGCTCAGCAGGGATCCTGCTTCCCTCCCACCCCACCTCCACCCGCCGCCTGCCTCATTGCCTACTTGTGATCTCTGTCAAATAAATAAATCTTTAAAAAAGAAAAGAGAAGTATGAGTAAATATTACCTGTTTTCAAGGTAGTCTTGGACCTCAGGGTCTTTTTTCTTTTTAATTAACTCCCATGAAGCAGGGGAAACCTGCTCCTCACAGTGGCTCTGCTTGCCCGCAAAATAAAGCCCAAACTTCCCAGCAAGACATCTGTGCTTGCTTGTGTAAGTTAGTCAGTAATTACCTCCAGCATCACCTTCCGCTCCTGTCCTCCAACTTGACCCCGATATCCAGCACTTTGCACTTCCTGCCACCCGCTGTTTCTGCTTCTGTCTGTGCCTCTGCTGTCTCCCCTCTACTTTGGACAGTCTTCAAGCATTTTCTTTTCTGACTTCATCCTTCATCCTTTAAGAATCAAGTTACTGTCCCCTCTTGAGGAATCCCCTTTCCTGAGTCTCCGGTGAGGCTGAGCACCTACCCCGGGAGCCCCGATCTGACCTCTGGCTTCGTGGTTATCATAGCAGACTCGCCTCCTCTAAGTGTGTGTCTGTCTCCCCAAGCCCTTGGCCTAGATGGTAGATTCCTCACAACAAAGACAGTGACCGGATCATCTCTCAGTCTCACCAGTGCAGCACCAGGGGGCCTCTCCGGAAATGTCTTTTGCCTTGAAATGTATTTGAAATTGTGACTGGGTTGGGGGATTACAAATCCCTTCTGTCCAAATTTTCCTTTAATGTTGCTCTAACAGCAACAACAGTTTGCATGTAAGCGATGTAAGGAAGCAAGACATTGTGGCTGGTGAATGTGGGTCTTCTAAAGCGTGCTGGGCTTCTGTGGGGACCCAGCAAGGCTGAGCCTGCGGAGTACAAGCACCGGGGCCTTGAACACACGTCCGGGGTCATTCGGCCCTGTGCCCCTCTCCAGGAAATAGAACGATTCTTGTCACCCGTGTTTAAGGAATGCCTGACTTTATAATTAGAATTCTTTCAGTAAAACTTTGCAATATGGATAGTGAAGTCAAATAATAGTCTAAAGCACACACCAGGCAGATATCTAAAGCACTTTGCTGATACTGTTCAGCTAAAAAACGGAGAGGGCATCTCCTACATCTCCACCCCCCAGTTTTGGGAACCCCTTCGATAATAGTCCGTGTTTCCCCACTGACTGACAGACTCGTGTGCTCATCAGTGTCCAACTGTCTTTATTTAGAGCTTCACTCCTATAACCAGGGCCTGTGTTTATAACCACCTTTCCTGTGGAAAGCCAAAACACTGTCCCCACGGGAGTTCATTCTCCTCTCCCTAAGAGTGGCCCGGGACCCTTGGGACCTCAGTAGGGGGTCAGTGGCAGAATGGGGACTGAAATGACCCTCCTGGGCCTGGCTGGTGTGGCCTCCCAGTTGCAGGCCCCCAGGTTGCGCGGCCACAAACGGTAAGAGTTTTTTCACGAGGAGACCTCCCAGCTGCGCTTCGTTTCTTATCCACCGCCCTCTGGCCGCGGTGCGGTGCCCGCTTACCTGGTCCGGGTGCCGGGCTGGCGCTGGCAGGCGGGGACAGACCCGTCCGGTCGGCCCCGCGCGTCTCCAGCGCATGCACAGTCGCTGCCCACGCCCACGGTGCCTGCGACACAGCCACTCAGCTTTTGCAAACTTGCATAATGTATTTCTCTCAACTTGCGCTCGTACATCTGTTTATTTTTCATTTTTAAAACATGTTTTCTTGATAAATTTATAAATATTTTAGCAGGTGCCCTTTCCCCGTGTAAATCTCTGTCTCCGACACACACGCCCACGCTGCCTGCCAGATTGCGTTCGTGAGCAGCACGCGCAGCAACCGTGTCGGAGCCCCCACCTCCTGTGTCTGCTTCTCTCTCCTCCTTTCGCTCCCGCCCAGCTCCGTTCTCCCCTCCCCTCTGGGGGTGATGTCCGGTTGCCTCTTCTCTTTGCGTGCACCCTGTGCGCCTCCACATCTTCGCTCCCCGCGGAGAGAGTTGGGGTGACACCTCCACCAGCCTCCCCTCAGCAGCGAAACTCATCTCTGACGAGATGGTGGATTTTAGGGACATAAGAGCTTATGTGCGATTTTCTTGGAGGACGACATCTCGGAACCCCGGGCTCGTGGGCTAGGGCTCGTCTCCGCGCCTCTGTCGGCCCCTCGCGTGCGCAGGGAGAGCCCGAGCCCCAGACGCGCTGCGCAGCCCCCTGTCCCCGAGAGGACCCGCTGTGTTCCGTCTGTCTGTCCGCCGCAGAGGCCGGAAAGCCTGCTGAGGTTTGAGTGAACCATGGGAAATTGTCCACAGCTGCTCTTTGTTGTTGTGATTTGTGTTGATTTGTTTTCAATAGACTTCTTTTTAGAGAAGTTTTTGGTTCACAGCAAAATTGAATGTCCCTGCCCCCTGCCCCTACACACTCACCTCCTCCCCCGTTATCGACACCTCCCACCTGACTGGGGGGAGCCTGAATCCTCACAGGGTAATCACCCGAGTCCAAAATTTGTGTCAGGGCTCACTCTTGGTGTGGTATGATGTGCGGATTTGGACAATGCATCCACAGCGACTGTACAATGAGTAATTTCACTCCCCTAAACGTGCTCTGTGCTCCACCTGTCCATCCCTCTCCCCCACCTCCATCCCTGGCAACCACCGGTCTTCCCCCTGCCCCCACCCCATTGCCTTTTCCCAAAATGTCATAAACTTGGAATCGGTCAATTTCTGACTTTCAAAAATGGCAGCCTAATACACTGGGGGAGATTTCTCAACGACAAAGTTTGGGACTTTGTTTTTTTTTTGTAGTTGCTCTACAAACCCTCAATTCCAGGAAACCAGAGCCTGGAGGCCCCGCAGTCCTCTGGTTGGTGGGAATGTTGCTGGTCGCTCGCCAGACCCCAGAGAGGGATGGAGAGCTGTCCCGGGGGAGGCGTCAAGTGCATGGCACACCTGGATAGGCTACTCAGATAGGAAACTCGTGTCCAGGCTCCTTGAATACACGTCTTGTAGGTTCCTAGATCCCAGCCTCGTCCGTCATTCACGAGTGACCTTGTCATACCAAATGCAGGAATGGAAGCTGGAAATCCCCCAGAAACCAGGGCTTCTGTCTTCCCGTTCAGGTTTCATGGGGCCTTTTTTTTTTTTTTTCTTCCTCTGTTGTCCAGGTGTGTGAGAAAGAGAAGCTGTTGTCAGAGAGGAACCAACTGAAAGCCTGCATGGGGGAGCTGCTGGACAACTTCTCCTGCCTTTCCCAAGAAGTCTGCCGCGACATCCAGAGCCCTGAGCAGATCCAGGCCCTGCACCGGTACTGCCCCGTCCTCAGACCCATGGGCCTCCCTACATCCTCCAGTATTAACCCCGCACCCCTGGGCGTCGAGCAGAACCTGGCCGCCTCGCAGTGCGCGGTGGGGGAAGGTGCGCCCTGCTGCTTGGAGCCGGCGGCCGCTCCTCCCGGGCCTCCCTGGGCCCCCGGCGGCGCCCCGGAGAACTGTACTTCCAGGAGGCCCGAGGGTGCTGAGCCAGGAACCTTCTCAGAGAGGGCGCCTGCTCTGGAATCCAGGAGCCAGACGGTGACCGTGGACTTCTGCCAGGAGATGACTGATAAGTGTACGACCGATGAGCAGCCCAGGAAAGAGTACACCTAGTGACCCGGCCCACCTCCCAGCCTTCCCACCTCGCCCACCTGGGTGTTCTACGGTCAGCCTGCGGTGCTCTTCATCTGTTGTCTGGAAGAACCAAGAAGGAATTTGGTGCACACTACAGCGTTCTTAGCAGCAATACTGTTTCTAAGTATTCCCTCCTCTCTTCACGCGGGAGTGATACACAGTTCCCTTCACAATGGTGCTACCCCTTGCCCAGGCAAGGAAAGACGGCGGTGGTGACACTGCCTGTCTGTGGGTTAATTTCAGTCTCAACAGGGATAGACTATAACACCTCTAGGACCCAACCACGGATTTTTTTTCTCAGTGGCCCATGTCACAAACCCTATCTCAGGAATTTCTTCTGAATGTTCAATTTTTTTCATTGAAGACAGCTTCTATACACATCAAAGTTTTATAGCTAGACTGTACATATTATATATAATATATATATAAAATATATATATATATCCATATGCAAAAGTCCTGCATGCCTCAGTTTTCTCATCCTAAAACTGGAAACTTCATTTCTCATTTATCAACAGGTTCCAACATTCCTCTTCTTTTGTCTCCAGTGCTAGAACTAGTTTGGTAACTGTTAACATGGTCATTTTTCTTGCTTCACAGTTCAATTTCAATTTGTACTTATTTATGGAACAGAATTCAATGTTGGAAGCTTTTTTTTTTTTTCCAAGGTTTTATTTCCGACCCTTTTTCTGTTGTTTGGTTTGCTTTGGGCACCGTCGGCCGGTGTCATCTGAGTGTCGTGGTTTGTTTTGTTGTTGTTTTTTTTTTCTTGCAGATACTGTACAGTCATGGTCAACTTCGCCACTTGCACTGAGTTTTGGGTCAAACCTATTTTCTTAAATGAAGTTGTTATTACTTCAGTATAACTCAAGTATACTGTATATTCTTTGCTTTTAGTTGAAAAGTAAGACATTTTAGCTAATTAAAAAGCACTCAGGTGATAATTATGTAGGAAAAATAATCTTGCCAAATAATGAATTCATCCTAGGATGTGTAGACAATAATCTGCTTGAATATTTTTATATTTCACCTCCTCCCCACCTTTCCCGGAAGCAAAGTTTAGATGCAGAGAGTTCAGAGTTGATGCTGAATGTTCAGACTCCTAAGTGGGGAGAGAGTTTGGACGTCCACTTGAAAGTGCATCCAAACAGCAGGAACCCATGATTTTGTACCAGAACTCAGCAGGCATTGGCTCCTAAAAATCAACTTAGAACTATTTTCTCACCCAGCGGGCGAGTCCCATTCATTTCAACCCATCCTTGGGCCTCTGCCTGCTCTTGGAAGGGCAGCGCAGGAGGAACTTCTTGGAAGGATTTGGCTGATCAGCCACCCCACTCCCGCCGCACCCCCCTTCCCCTGCCCAGCCCCCTTGCCCAGCTGGGTTCCCAGGACCTCTCCCTTGAGTGGGTTTGAATCACAGCAGCTGGTGTTCTGCGTGGAAGCAGCGTCCTGGGTTAATGCAGCTCACCCAGACTAGGAGAGAGTGGGGGCACATGTGAGCCTGGGCTCTGTCCCTGACACAAGTGAAAGCATTTCTTTCTCCCTCCCTTCTCCACATGCTTTGAGTTGAATTCTGGGGTTTTTCTGCTCGTCTCTTGTCTGAAGGCAGATTTCATTCTGAGGCTTTGGACACGATATGGCGAAGGAGCCCTCCCTGCCCTGCCCCTTCCCCCACCACACACACACACACACACACACACCTACCCTCACCTGATAATTTTCTTCTCTTGCTGCAAAACTGGTTGGCTTGCAACCCATAGAGAGCAGCTTTCCTTGGCTTTGGGGCGTGCTGGCCCCCAGCCACGTTTACAAGATGTGCCCAGACCCTGCCCCCAGCCTAAGAGGAGGAGGAGTCCCTCCTTCCCTCCTTCCGGTGGGCCCTCCAGCCTGGCTGAGGGAAGAGTCCCGAAAGGTTTGATGTGGGGTTGGGGTGGTGGGCAGTGGGGAGTAGATGGTTGACTTTGTTTCTTTATTTGTGCCATTGTTTGGACAATATTAAAGCTGCATGTAAAAGGGGAAATTAGTATATGATGTAGGCGAAAAGTGAAATCATAGTAACATATGTTTTAGTATTATTAACTTTTTTCTGTACAAATATTAGCGCTAAATGTTTAAATATGTATGAATGCCAGAAATTTGTTGGTTCATGCGGTAGGATAAAAAAAAAAAAAAAGGCTTTTCTTTTCAAATAGTTCCGCTTTTAAAACCTGCCTCTGGGTTTCTGTTTCTCCTCATGTGCGTGTGTATGTGCGTGTGCTAGTCTGAGACAGATTCTGAGGCAGCTCAGAATTGGAGCTGCCTTTTTTTTTTTTTTTTGCGGTTGTTGGAATTTCTTGGCCTAGTAGAATGGTTCTGTGCTTCACAGTGGAGTTTGCCTTTGTGGAAAACTGGTGACAGCTGGAATTTAAATTCAATGTGAATCACGTGAGGCACCACAGGTCTGTGTTATGGTGGTGGAGTCAGCCAACAGTATTTTGTTTTTTTTTAACTCTCTTGTTGCCTTTTTTAAGTGACCTCCTCTTCTTTTGGAAAAAAAGAATGTTTCCTGCTCGTCTCATCACCAGGTCCAAACCAGCCTGTTGGTGTGATCTACCCTGGTGACAGCTTGTGTGCAAACCGGTCACCTTGACCACATTCCGTCGGTCTCCCCCTCCCCCCCAAGTCTGTTTGGGCTGCGCGGACGCGCTGCGGCCAAGTCTGGGTGGGGGAAGGGGTCTCCTGATTTCCCTCCACCCTCTCTGCCCACATTCTCTGGCCACCACCGCCCTTCCCCCGGCCCAGCTGCTTTTCTCTCTCTTCAGCAACCAAACTCCTGCTATGGGAACTGGTTAAAAACACTGCTTGAAAAACTCTTTCCATTTCTTAGAGATTTTTTTTTAACGACTTACGATTTTGTTCACTATGTACCATAAACAGTGACTGGCTTTGTGCAATTGTCTGTTTGACCTGTCTTGTCTCCTTCTACCCTGAACCACGTGTTCCTAAGGATTGTTTGCGGGTTGATTCAAAGGGAGGACTAGCTGGGGACCAGAATCCGAACTGCCTCAAGTGGAGTTTTAAAAAACAAGCCTGTCTCCTTAACGTGGGATCCCTTGGTGCAGCCTCTGTCTTTTATGAAAAGGAAAAGCGAGTTAAGAACAGGGAGTAGTGTCTGCACAGCACAGTGACATATAGTTGTGCTCTGAAGGGTCTTTCCTCATAAAAATAAGGAAAGCACCATGGACTGCTTAGGAAGATCCTTGCCATGGCCTAGTTGGGTCTCCAAATAGGTGGGCATGAACTGTTGGGGCGGGGACCACGGCGGAGGCCCCATGGCTTGTTACCATGTGCCTGGATCTAGTCCTCCCCTTGGATCTGCCTGTGTCCTACTTGTGTGTCCAGACAACCTCGCTTCATTCAGGTTGGTCAGGCTTTGGGCAGGTGAGTGCTTTGCTGTATGTGTTTGTTTCTCTGCGTTATCTGGGGGTGCCTTGAATAAAATCAGACTTCATTACGTACTGATTCTGGAACAAAACTGTTGCAAAAACAAAACAGAGCTGGCAAACTGACTAGGCCATCCTGCTATTTTGATTCCGGGTTCCCTCACAATGACTCAGGCGTCAGAGGTGATGCTGCAGTATAAGACATTATTTTGTATATTGTACAAGTAATTTATTAACTGTCTTTCTAAAAGTATGCTGCTTTTAAGATGCACTATGACTTTGGATTTAATCCTTGTATTGCTTTCCCAAGGAAGTAAAAAAAAAAAAAAAAAAAAAGCTAGCGATTAGAATGCCAACTGCCACTTCTCCTTAAAAAGGAGGCCAGGGACCAGCTCTAGGACTTGCACCAGTGAACTGCTAGAAATCAGGTGGCCACAATGTGAAGTTCGAAGGTATATTCAAGAGATCTAGGGGTGCCTGGCTGGCTCAGCCAGTAAAGCACGTGACTCGATCTCAGGGTTTTAAGTTCGAGCTCCACAGAGAGATGACTTAAAATCTTCATTTAAAAAAAAAAAGGCCTAAACCTACACTTCTTTCTGAATACTTTATGATTGCCTTTAAAGAAGAAGAAACAAAGGTGTATAAACTACAAGCCTTTTAAGAAATCCCAGAGTCCTGTCCCTACCTGCTGCTCCACATCCTGTGGAGCACAACCCTCTCAAAGTGGGTAGAGCCTGCAAAGCTTACTTGGCTACAAAAGACCTACCTGGCTGGATCTCCACATTCTACCCCATTGAAACTAGCAGCTGCTTAATAAATGACTTTAACCTGCTCCCTTATGGCTTCTAGTTCGGGAGGAGTCGCAGACCAGGAAGGGAGCAGGCATCAAGTTTTGTCTTTAAAATACTATAAATAGACTGAGGGGCAGAATCTTTTTTTTTCCTTTAAGAATAAAACTGTTCACTCAATCATAAGTTAGTATTTCTTCCCCAGATTGAGGATCTTGTTGTAGGCGCAGTTACTGGCGAGTCAGTCCACAGCGCAGTGCCCTGCGTGGAGTCGGTGTGCGTGCAGGACGTCCGTGTGCATGGAGACAGTCTGTATGTTCTCAGTACCGCCTGAGCCATCTCCTGACCCAGGCATCAAAGACTGATGCTGCAGAACAGACGATATTTGTACACAGAGAGTGGGTGCAAATAGTATTTGTACATAGAAAGGACCTATTGTGGCAGATTGAAGATAAATTATTCAACCGACGGTGCAAAAACATTTCTTGCGAAGAAAAGGAAGTGTATAGTATTTTCCTACACTCCACCCTGGGAGATAATATTTATATCAGATGAGTATCAGTGCATTTTAATTGTACTATGAACCTGAGGCTGCCATTCTGTTGGTCGCAGAGGCCCACTTTGTCGCTTTGATTTCATGTTGTGACGTGGTGCATGCATCTCGCTATCAAGTGATGGATAAACAACTCTGACTTTCACTTCATTCCAGTTTATTGACCTCAGCTAAAACAGTGGCCCTCCTTAGAAGCAGAAGGGCACCAAGACCATTCATTCAGTGCCAAGTGTTCCTGGGGGGTTGATTGGACACGTATGTGAGGAAAGAGGGAAGGGACTTGGACAAAGAGGGGCTTTCCTACCGATGATGCTAAGTCTCCTACCAAAATACGTCTGCAGACAGAGGGGATGACCTCCACGGGGTCCTAATGGTGCATTTGGCGTGTGTGAATGCTGGGATGCCCATTCACGCTCGGACCTAAAAGACCTGCCACTTGTAGCAAGTGACCAGGAAGATTCCAAATGCACTTGGGAGCTCCAGGTGCTGGTCAGACACAGTGAGCCGTTCGAGGCAAGCACCACCTTTTGCTCGTGAGGCCAGAAGGGCCTGGGAGAATTTGTTCCAGAACCAGTCTGATGCAAGTGCACCTCTAATATATGCCTTACAAACTCCAGAGGCCATATTCAAAACAGGGTCTTCTCAGTGTATGCAAGGGGCCACAGCCCCTCTTCTCTTCCTCCCCAGGTCGAACAATACGGACAGTTTCACACATATCTACCTGTATAACCCTCTGTACCTCTCATAACTGCTCAACGACTGTAACAGGTTACATCAGGTGTTTTTCTACATACTTTTTACACAGATTCTATGCGATTAATGTAACTTAATGCATCATTTTATTGTATTAGTTCTTAGGCTTGTCTTTTTTTTTCTAAGTGATTGTGGTTTTTGTTGTGGTTTTTAACTGTAAAAATGAAATGGCTGTTGATGCTTATTCTCTGTAACTAAGAATTTTTACCATTTGGGGGAAAACAAAACATTGCTATGAACTAATGAATTGAAACTTCATTTACTCATTGTAAATACACTATTGTGCAAAAAAAAAAAATTTTTCACTCAATTGAATTGCTAGTGTTAACTGAATTTTGTCTAGACACCATTTCTGTTGATGAAATAAAGACATATCATTATGCATTGTAAGCTGGTTTTCCCTGCCTCTGATCCCTGTGTTACAGATCACAGGGTTGGAGGCCTTAGGAAATCTCTTCTCCAAAAGAAGCTATGTGTCTTCCTCTAGCTTGGACCCTTACCTGCTACCTGATTAATCTGATTAGAGACGTAAAAAATGTGATAATGCTAATGTGACTTTTAAGTTTAAAAAAATTCCCAGTGCCTGTGAGAGCAGATAAAAAGGCATTAAACGTAATTTCCTGGCTTCAATGTTGTGCGATAGCTATGCCAAATGTCACCGTTGAGGGCAGCTGGGTGAAGGGTATTGTTTCATACAAGAACATGTGAATCTACAATTATCTCAACATAATAGGTCTAATTTAAAACAGAAAGTTAGAGGTGGCTGGCTGGCTCAGTCCATGGAGTGTGTGACTCTTGATAGGGGTTGTGAGTTTGAGCTCCATGTTGGGAGTAGAGGGAATGAATAAATGCATGAATGAATGAGTAAAATAGAAAGGTAAAAGAAACTAACCAGAGAGAAAGGGGCATTAAACCAACACCAAGATACAATGATGAGTAGGGCAAGGAGTTTAGAATTGTGGTTAAGGGAGTAAATACATTAAACTAGAAAATGATATTTGATCATTTGAGTCCTGGATTTTGATGTAAAGGGAAAGCAAGGTATTGAAGGGCAGGCAGGCTACATGACCAAGAGTTAACACTGGACTGGTGTGGTCTGGCTAAGCTGTCAAAGAGGCCATAAATAATACGTTCTCATGATATCTGAAGAGCTGCTGAGATCTGAGCTACAGGAAGTGCCTGGCCTCACCCCATCTGCCAGATGAGAAAACTAAAAGGTACTGAATTCCACTGCCTGGGCATCCTACTGAGCCAAGGAGGGCTTCCAGGAAGCATATAATGGGTTTAGCAACTGTTAGCGAAACAATACAGTTGTAACATTGTAGGTGTGAGAGGTCAAATACAGTCCTTTGCCTGAAGATATGAAGTTATTCATTCCATTCTGAAAAAGCAGGTGGGTCTTAGTCCCAAATTTTTCTACTAAGAAAACCTGATCATTTAGGGGTATCTGGGTGACACCATCGGTTGGACGTCCAACTCTTGATTTCAGCCGGGTTGTGGGATCAAGCCCAGTATGGGGCTCTGTGCTCAGCTCCAAGACTGCTCAGGTTTCTCTCTCCCTCTGCTCCTCTCCCCTTGTCATGCCTGCATGCTCACGTGGTCTCTCAAATAAATAAATAAATCTTTTAAAAAGAAAGCAGGGCCCCTGGGTGGCTCAGTTGTTAAGCATCTGCCTTCAGCTCAGGTCATGATCCCAGGGTCCTGGGATCAAGCCCCACATTGGGCTCCCTGCTCGGAGGGAAGCCTGCTTCTCCCTCTCCCACTCCCTCTGCTTGTGTTTCCTCTCTCGCTGTGTCTCTCTTCCTGTCAAAAAAAAAAAAAAAAAAAAAAAGGAAAAAAAATCTTAGGAAAAAAAGAGAAGGAGAAAGGAGGGAGCGAGGGAGGGAAGGAAGGAAGAGTAGGAAGGACAGAAAGGAGGGAAGGAGGAAGTGGAAGGGAAGGGAGGGAAGGAAAGGAAAGAAAGGAACAAGAGAAACCTGACGGTCATTCGCTACTTTGACCTTCACACTTGCACTTGTAGTGGGAGTAACAATCATAGTTTGAAACAGAATAAAGTCACCGTCTGCGGAAGAGGGGCATTCAAACACTGTTCTGCCCCAGATGGGCAGCAGCCATCCTCTTTCCTTCGAATGTGCACCTTCGGAAGGATCTGTATCTACTTCCAGGGTACAGTGAGGACTCCCAGATTGGTTTCCCCTACACCAGTCCCTGCCAACAGTTTTGTTGTATCTATTTGGGAATAACTAAGCTGTTGTTTCAAACAGTTCTAGAATTTTTCACTCTTCTCCAACCCGTCACCCTCCCCACTCAAGTAGGATGCACTGGCAAGACTGTATTCGATGTTTAACACCCACCTTGTGTTAGGACTCTGAGTGGAATGGGTTTCCAATTGTCCCCATTGAGCACCTTCGCTTTCCAGAGAGATGGGAAAAGCCACTCATCCCACATCCCATTATGTAAGTGTCTTTCCTTTCTTTGATTCGAGAACATGATACCTTCTATCCTCATACCTCTGGCTCCTACAGATCCCAACATACACCTGCCGCTGGCCTGCTCAGTCAGCCAGGAGGAGGCATTACTGGTTCTTCATGGCTGGGGTTTACTCTTCCCCCTTGAAGACAACTGCCTCCCTGACGCAGTGATCCTCACCCTAAAGCAACAGATGGAATCCGTCAGAGGCATGCCAGCATATACTGGAAGCATCACGTTTTACATTCACCCTTTAACATGTTTTTAACTTCTCTTTGTGCTGTAGAGTTGATGACCCTGTCAAGGCTTCTGAGGACAAAGGAATTTTAAAGTAAAGGGAAAAAAAATGCTGCCATACAGGCTTCTGAAAGAGTCTCTCATAATAACCCTATTGACAGGACGTGACAGAACACCTGCGAATAAGGAACAGACAGGAGAGTTGAAAGCGAAAGGTCATATATTGTCTTTGGCATCCATACAGAAACAAACATTCATTCAACAAACACTGTGCTGCGAGCTGGCCATCCAAGATTTAAAATGCACGGCCCTTATCCTTATAGCTTCCACAGGCTAGTTGGACAGGCAGCTGTGCAAATAAATCGTTGCCCCGGGGCTGCGGATTGTCACGGCCAGGGAGCGCATGGCTTCAACGCTTCCTGGCAGGAGCCCGAGCCTTGGAGCAGCGGGATCCGGGTTTGTATTCAGCTGTAGAGCAGACACTTGAGCCATGCGACCTTTAGCTGTGGGGCACGTTCCTCAGTCTCTTTGAGCCTCCTCTGATCTATAAAGTGGGGATCAACAATAATCTTCCACAGCTGTACAAGGCAGAGCTGATGCATCTTAAGCACCTGGAATCTGGTGTGCCCCTTGGTGGTACCCACTTGGACTTGGCCCCAGCATCATTTTCATCCACCTGGTCTTCACTGGCTCTTCTACCAACTCACTGTGGAACAGCTCATGCCTCTTCATATCTCCACACCTCATTGCCACCTCTGCAAAGTACGGGGACAGAGAAGACTCAGTAGCCATTTGGGCTAGAAGCACAGCCCAGCCCCATCCAATGCTGGGCTCCCTTCCACAGCATCCCAGGCAGTCCCCAGTGTATCGGGGTCCTCCAGAGAGACGGAACCAATAGGAGATCAATCAATCGATTGATCAATCCACCTATCTGTTCAATGGTCCCAACTGCTGCTGTGCCACTGCAGAGCAGGGGTGCTCTCTACAGCAAGCAGGGCACTAAGTCCCACCAGGCTGCTAGGTTGGGGAAGGATAGCCATTTCTCAAGCCTTCTCCCCTCAGAGTGGCAGCAGCTCTTACCCCGAGATTTTCTCTCCTGGTGCACACTTCCTCCCTGCTTCCTCCTGCCTGACATAGCACCGGTGGTGAGGTCCATCCAGCCCATCAGAGGAGGGTCTCCTGTGCAGGTGGGCCCAGCTGGGGGCACCCTGTACACATCCACTGCCCAGTGGGTGTCTCTGTGGAGGGAATGGTTCCCACAGTTCTTCTCACAGTTTGAGCTAACAAAAGTGCAACTTTTCTCCCACAGATGCCGGCTGCTCCTCAGTCCATTTTTCTGGGCCCACGCATGAATTATTTTTTCATAATAGATGAAAGTTCTAGAAGCATGTTCTGAAAGAAATACGAAACAAGAGAAACAAAACAAAATAGACTCAAAGGGCTTGCAAAAGTCAGTCCTGTCCACCCACCTAGGACTCTGTGTATGTCACAAATACCAGGGGTCCAATCAAAACCCGCTGAGGACAATTCTCCCTAGGTTGACCCAGAGTTGAATGACCATGGAAGAGGTTTTATTCCCTGAAAGATATGAAACCCATCTGCCATCTACTTATCCTCCTCCAGTTATTGTTTTTGTCCAAAATCCAGGTCTAAAACTGTTAGTCAACCTTTTCCAAAGCTCCATCTTTGTTCCTTCTACAATTAGCCAGATTTTGGGTTATTTTGTAATGTGGAAGAGAAGAGGGATCCAAATGTGGAATATTCCATTTTGTAATAATCTATCCTTGATCCTAAAAATCTTCTAAACTTAGGCTGCCTTGTGCAGAGAGAGCTAGAAGCAGTAATGAGGTATAGAAAGAGCTCAGTGTGGGTTTCTAAGTAGCCACAGTGTGATCCTAAACATAGTCTCCTGGTTAGAGGACTAGTCATGACAAGAAATGAGTATCAATTTGAAAGAAGTATTATAGGAAAAATCTAGGAAGGGTGATTCTTCCTCAAGATATGGCTTTAGTGCAGTAACAAAATATCTCTAATCTCACAGAAGATATGAAACTGGGGTAGAGATTCAATCATCATAGATTTAATCATTATTATTAAGAGGAGAAAGCAAGTGTGTGAGCTCAAACAAGTGAGCTCAACTAGGAATTTCCCCCTCCAAACTTGGAGGAGTTTCTTTTTAATGGTAAAAAGCTGTTAGGAGCAGTGGATAAAGCAAGTGTCATTCTTTTTTCTAGAATTGAGAAGAGTCCACAGTAAATATCCATTGTGTGTAAACAATGAGCAGGAAATGTTTATTCCACACTGGCTTTTCAGAAAACAGAATTAAAATCAATACAATATTGATTTCGGTCTTTGTGAAATATACCACCAAATATTTGTATATGACTTTTAAATACCAGAGCTATTAAAACAATGGAGCACATCCTCCTTCCTTAGTGAGACAAGGGCAACTCAAGGTTACAAATGATCCCTCTTCTGATCCATTTTCCACACTGTGACAGAGCTTCATTTTATTTTTTTTAGATTTTTTATTCATTTATTTGACAGAGAGAGATCACAAGCAGGCAAAGAGGCAGACAGAGAGGAGGAAGCAGGCTCCCCACCAAGCAGAGAGCCCGATGTGGGGCTTGATCCCAGGACCTGAGATCATGACCCGAGCTGAAGGCAGAGGCCTTAACCCACTGAGCCACCCAGGTGCCCCGTGACAGAGCTTTCTAAAATGTAACTCTGATCCCATCACTTCTCCACAGCACACCCTCTATGGATTCTCCACTGCCTTCCCATAAGACCTCCATGGCTCCTTCTCCAGCATTCCTTCTCCATAGCCTTCCTACCTACCAATGCCCCAGCCACATATAGCTCCCCGGACAGCCCTGCCGTGTCACACCTCTCAGTCTTTGTCTGTGCTGCTCCCTGTACTGGGATAGCCTTCTTTCATGTACCCCAGTCCTCCGAGGTCTTGAGAAACTTACATCTTTTTAAGACTCAATTCAAAAGTAACCTCCACTATGAAGCTTTTCCTAACCCATCCATAAAGAATTGACCACTCCTTTCTTTGCCTGCTCACCCCTTCTAATATGGCACCTTACACTTGATGACATTTGTCTGCTTACCTAACTTTCCCACCCAGACTCTGAGCCCTTTGGATGGCAGAGACAATATTTTATCCATTTATAAACCCAGCACTTACAAGACTGAAGGATATAAAGTAGGTTTTCAGTAAATCCACTTCATGAATTGAATTTAACTGAATGTATTGAATGACAGGATTTAACTCCATAAATTAACCTCCCTCGCCACCTCTCCCTCTCTTAACACACATATATATACACACCAGGAAGCTGGAAAGAGAAGGATGAGAAGTAGTCAGTGTGGAAAACCTCTTGCAATAGTTCTGTGTTTAGTCAGGCTGTCTGTCTTTACTTACCATTGATGTTCTATACTCAGTGGCTGAAGGCAGAGGCAAGGGGCTATTTTCCCGGTGCAGAAGGTCCAAGCAAGAGCTATTCCGAGAACTGGAGCTTCCTGAGTCACTGTGCAACTGTCCCTTTTCAGACAGCAATCTGGACAGAAAGCTGGCCTTGCGACTGCCCGGGTGAGATCTGTCTGTCCAGACCCCACTCTTTCTCACACTGCTATTGCTGTCTCTACAGTAACTGTACAAATCTGTGAGAGGTTCTCCTGAGGTTCTTCGATCCTGGGACTGGTCCCAGGCCCCTGTTGCATAGGATGGGCAGTGTCTAGGAGCTATCTCTGTACCTAGCCAGGAGTGGGAGTTGCCGTTTTGCCGGACACAGGAAAGGCGTGTTTGCTGTCTAGGGTGCTGAATTTGAGCGCCATCATCCCAGGGACAAGGGCTGTGGACATGGAGCTGTCCACTGTGCTGATCCTTCTCAACCCACTCTTTTTTAACACAGCAAGGGTCTACTTCAAGTTGCATGGGCTGTGAGCTTTGCCACATGGTTTTAGACTTCGGCACATTGACTCGAATGACTTGCTGTTGATTGTTGGCTTGAAGTAGAGAGATTCTTTTAGGCAAGGGAGAGCAAATTATACACTCCTGGGCCACTGAATATTTTTTCAAATGGAATGGGGTGCCACTTTCATTCTCAATGCCCTCATTGCTGGATTTCTCATAAAGTGCCCTCATAATTTTCCTGATTCCAAGATGAAATATTTCCAGTACGTTGAGGACCAAAGATATGGCTGCAATGCTGTGCATAAAGAGCATGAAAATTGTCTTCTCTGTGGGCCTGGATACAAAGCAATCCACTGCATTAGGGCAAGGGGGTTGAGTGCATCTGTAAAGAGGATGCATTTGAAACCCATAGAGAATATACTGGCCTATCATGAACGCTACTTCCATCACAGATCTTGTCAAAATGTGTAAGACATAAGTACGCAGCAGACATCCTTTCAGAGGGACTTTATGGATTCTCTTCTGCTCCTCTAACCTCTTCAGCTCTCTATCTATCCTTTGCTGCTCCTCCAGTTCAAGCTCTGGATTCTCCATCTGGACTCGGAGGTGTGACTTTTTCTTCTGCCTCTCCTTCTCAAAGGCCCTGAGTCTATAAAGTGCATGGCCCATATACACCAGAGAAGGAGAAGACACAAAAATGATCTGTAAAACCCAGAACCTGATCAAAGAGATAGGGAAAGCATCATCATAACAGATATTGTTGCAACCGGGCTGCTGGGTATTGCAGGCAAATGCGGACTGTTCATCATCCCAGACATCTTCAGCAGCCACACCAAGTACCAGCATTCGGAAAATGAAGAGAATGGTCAGCCAGATTTTCCCCACTATAGTTGAGTGGGAGTGAACTTCCTCTAGGATGCCACCCAATAAATTCCAGTCCCCCATGGTATGAGACTAATGTCTGAAACATATAGAAAACACTGAAGTTAATAGCACTCATAGACATAATGTACAAAGACACAGGCTCGTCAATAAACCAGGTTCTTTTTTCATTTCAGCAAAGCTATGAAGGATCTTCCAGCCCTAGTATTTATGGCCCATGCATGATGAAATAGGATACTTCCCAAGAATATGTTTTTGAAAAACAAAAAACAAAAAACAAAAAGCCAAAGATGGTGCACAATCTGATCCAATTTCCTGCCTACCCTCTCCTCTCCCACACAAGGTGGACTATCATTCCACTGTATGCAATAGCCCTCACATTTGTACAATGCATTCCATCACAAATTGTGTTCATTTTTCTACCATATCAGATGCACCATTAACCAGACATCCTATATGATCTTAACTAAGTCTCACCTTCCCCAGGAAGTTTTCCCTAGCTATCCCAAGTCAGAGTGATTTTTCCCATTATTGAATGCCCACACTATTGTTTATACCACTCATTTGACATTGTGCCTAACAGGAGTTTTGGGATGGTTGTGTTTTCTGCACCTCTTTGTGGAAAGATACACTCTTTGCAGACAGAGACATATTCCACAGCATTTTGTTCTTTGCACACAGAAGGTATCATTAAATAATGGTGGGATGAATTGTCATTCCATTTTAATTCAGTTCCTTGACCTTATCACTGAGATAATCATCAACAAAAAAAACCAAGTAGATCCTCATTATGTATTATACATAACTCCCATTGCAAGTAAAGAAAACAAATCAGCCAAATAAACCCTCTGGAACAGGCACAGCGTAGCAGTAAAAATTAAGCAGACACAGAAACAGTAACAGACATGTGATTATATCCACAAAGCCACATCTGCAACAGCATGTTTTCATAAAAGCTTTGTTAACTTAGAAGAAAAGTGAATATAAACTGCTTCTCTAGTAAGCTTGTGATCTAGGAAAGAATCAAAGCATAGCTGACATGAATAAGTTATTTGGTTTACCCTAAAGAGAAAAAGAATGTTTTTCAAAGTTTGCTGAGATTAAAATATTTGATTGGTTAAAGACTTCTAAGATGCAAAAGATTTCCTGATATTAAAGATATATAGAGAAAAAAACAGGAAAGCATTACTAAGTTAAAACCAGTAATGAAAGAATTTTCCCCTTCCATAATTCATTCACTAAATATTGACTAAATCTTACTATCACCTAGGCATTTTCCTAAATGCCAGGGAATCCAACAATGAACAAGATATACTTTGTCCAGCCCTCACAATACTTAGTCAATAAGTACTCTCACTAACCTATAAAATGGACAAATAGTGAAAAAGAATAGATGAATATCAACTCATAAAAACAAGAGAGGGGAGCCTGAGTAGCTCAGTCAGTTGAGAGTCTGACTCCTGGCTTCTGCTCAGGTCATGATCTAGGGCTGTAGGGTTGTGGGATCAAGCCCCATGTCAGGCTCTGTGCTCACCCAGGAGTCTGCTGGAGATTCTCTTTCTCTCCCTCTTCCTCAACCCCTTCCCCACTCTCTCTCAAATGAATAAATAAATCTTCAAAAAAAATACAAGAGAAAAAACATAGAATCATTACATTTTCCCTAGTTATCTCTCCAGACATAAAATAAATCCCAGTTGGAATAAAGTATTAAATGTAAAAAAGTCAAACACAAAAATATTAGAATAAAATATAACATTTTACAACTCTGAAGTACAGCAAGATTTTTCTAAAGCACATCAGTGCCAAAAATTGTAATTAAAAAAGGTTTTAGATTTATCCAACAAAGCTGAATGGCAAAAGTGGAAATGTCCAGAAGGCATCTGGGTCTAGAGAATAAAAACAACAATAAAAGGTACAAACTAGAGATAAACATTTAAACATTTGTGAATAATCACTGAATAGACAGAAGTCACTTAGGAACAAGACAAAGTAAGCCAATGACAGAACACTGAGAAACAGCATAGGAAAATAAGTTTACAAATAAAAATGAGAAATGACCAAAGTGGAAGAGGGGGACCATGAATACAGTGTCACAGAAAAAAAGGACAGAGTTTCAAGGAGAGACATAATGCCAAATACACGTACACAAACTCTTCTATTTATATAAATTAATTGTGGGATATATCATGCTCAGGAATTGGAAAACAGTATTTGTAAAGATGTCAATTCTCCCCCAAATTAATTGATCCATAGATTCAATGTGCGATTTTATATCAGAAAATAAAATCCTATCAATGTAAATATATATGCATGCATATGTATATGAAGTATACACATATAACTATATGAGCACAGAGAAAAAAAATACACGGCACACACCAGGAAGTTAATATAGGTTACCGGAGGTCTATAGGAGGTTATGAACGTAGAGGGGCAAAGAGAGACAAAAAAAGAAAGGGAAAAAGAATACTCTTCAAAGCAGGCATGAGAGATTTTTTACCTAATGTAGATATTTATGTAAATTTTAACTTGTAGGGGGGCCTGGGTGGCTCAGTCGGTTAAGCCTCTGCTTTCGGCTCAGGTCATGATCCCAGGGTCCTGGGATTGAGCCCCGCATCAGGCTCTCTGCTCAGTGGGGAGTCCGTTTCTCCCTCTGCCTCTCCATCTCTGATCTCTCTTGCTCTTACTGTCTCTCAAGTAAATAACATCTTTTAAAAAATGTTATTTATTTGACAGACGGAGATCACAAGTAGGCAGACAAGCAGGCAGAGAGAGAGGAGGAAGCAGGCTCCCTGCCAAGCAGAGAGCCTGATGCGGGGCTCGATCCCAAGACCCTGAGATCATGACCTGAGCCAAAGGCAGAGGCTTTAACCCACTGAGACATCCAGGCGCCCCCAAAAAATGTTCTTTTAAAAAAATTGTTTTACTTGTATATGCATACATATTCATACATAATTTTTTAAAATAAAATTTAAATAGGTATCTCAGAATTTGGGAGGGGTGTTAATGAGACTTTTATATTTTATTCTATGTACTTGAGAATTGCTTGAAATTCAAAAATTAGGAATGTAGTCACATGTAGTACTTGCAAATAAAAAAACAGATATTAAAATTTTGGACTTATTCTTCATTAACTGAGGCAATAATTTATTAAGTTTTACCATCTCAAAGAGTTTAGGTCTTTCTTATTCCTTTAAAAATTTCTGGACATTATTCTTTATTAAAAAAATAATTTCTTTCGGGCACCTGGGTGGCTCAGTCGGTTAAGTGACTATCTTCGGCTCAGGTCATAATCCTGGAGTCCTGGGATGGAGTCCCACATCAGGCTCCGAGCTCCGCAGGGAGTCTGCTTCTCCTTCTGACCTCCCGCCCTCTCTTACTTGCTCGCTCTCTCAAATAAATAAAGTCTTTAAAAATAATAATTCCTTTAGCACTTACAAAAAAATCTAGACCTTCTATTTTATGTAAAAACCCTGCAATGAGAAAGCTTACTCATTTCATTAACTTATTCTCTACTTGGAAGTCCTAAACCATTTAATGCTTCTTATTGCCACTATCGATTTAAAATCTGATAATTATTACCTTTAAATAGGAAGTAAAGGAAAACTAGGCCAACATGAAACACAGAACTACAATCATGCATATTGGCATGCAAGAGCAAAATCCTTAAATATTCCCATGTTTCTTAAAAGTAACTACTTTTTACCAATAACAACTACAGGTCCTAGAAATATTCTTGAATTCCGTTATCAAATACTAATTTAGCAACTCCCATGTAAAAACTGGGGCTCCTTTCCTGAATTTTATTTCAGATCTTATCCTTCTATACCCATAGGGATTTCCTCTATTTCTCATAAACAAGAAAGTCCACATATTTATGACTTACCTTATGGGTGGTCAAAAAAAAATAGTTAACAATCGGGCTCAAAGAACCTTAAAGTTGGACCATGAGTGGCTAATTAGAGAACAATTGCTGCTGGTTGCAGATATAAAGGCTCTGATCAGCTCTGATTCTGGGGCAAAATCCAGAATGAGCACAGTAATTTTGATCAATAGAGTCTAACCTACTTCTCCCTGGAGGTCAAAATATCCTTTGCGGCTTTGCAATTCTCTTGTAGTATTTTTTCCTAACTGATACCATGACTGAGCCTCTCCTGGTATATCATATTTAGAAATGAAAAGTGAAGTAAATGAGAATTTTCCTTTTTTATTTGTGGATGATTACAGTGATTTGAGTTTTGGGTACACTTCTTCCAACTGATTGCTCTGGGAATCCATGTCACAGATCAATGGGTCATGTCCAATTTCATTTGACAGCTGCCTGGGGTGAATCTTGCCTCATCAAATGTGAACAAGTAACAATGGAGTGACAAACCCAAAGTGTTCTTGCAAATCATGTTAGGCTGAAAGTAGAAACATCCCAAAAAGAGATCAATAGACTGAGAGGGGGCTGCACATGTCTATACATTAATTGTTCTAGCAATACTCTATTAGGCTGAAACAGGCAGCTGGGAAATTTTCAGTAGGTAATCTGAAAGCCTTAGAAAGCGATGTCAGATTTTTGTGGAGAAAGTATCTGAATTCCAGAAAGGTCAAATGACTTGCCCAATGCTGACAGAGACTAGGTCTCCTAACTCCCAGTCTTGTAACATCTACATTAGTCACATCTCAAGCAGTCTTACAGCCATCTTAGAGGGGGTGACAGCAAAGGTATCACTTGAACCCAATGATGACTTCAAATCAGGGCTCCTATGCACATTTTTTTTTAAAGTAGGAGCCCAGCATGGAGCCCAACGTGGGGCTTAAACTCATAACTCTGAGATCAAGACTTGAGCTGAGATCAAGAGTCTGACACTTGGGGTAACTGGGTGACTCGGTTGAGCATTGAACTCTTGATTTCAGCTCAGATCATGATCTCAGGATCATAGACTTGAGCCCTGAGTCAGTCTCCAAGCTCAGCGGGAAGTCTGCTGGAGATCTGCTTCCTATCCCTCTCCCTCTCCTCTATGTTCTCTCTCTCAAATAAATAAATCTTTAAAAAAAATTTTTTGAAACTACATAAAATTACTGATAGTTTCT